ATCATGCAATCTTGTACTCTCTATGTCATGATGATGCATTTAGGCAGGCCAGCTGACAGCTATGCTAGGGCCATGGACAACACAGTCTTAGTATTTTAATCAATAATCTGCTGTTAACAGAAATATTTTTTGTCCTCCAAACAAGTCTTAGATGACCTCACTTTATAAATGTGGCTAGACTTATTCTCCAAATGGCAAACTGTGAACTTTTTTAGTGGCAAACTCATTTATGATGTCTTTAAAGTCTAATTTCTTGGCAAGCTGATGCCCTATAGACTTTACCGGGACATCCTAGAACCCATGTAGTTTTTTTATTATCTTAATTTTACTGAAGGCCCGCTCACCTCGAACCCGTCAGAGGTAGAGATTGGAAAATATGTTGCATTTTCTTGCATTTCCAATAACAATATTTGCGTGCACCATTTATTTCATGCCCTGGAAATCTTTCATAAAGCTTTTTGTTTTTATGTTGGATATTTTCATCCCATCTAAATGGATTTAGTACACTAGTTGATCTTTTCTCTACTTCATAACAGAACAGTAAGCATGGCAAATATGGCCTTCAAAAATATTGTACCAACCTTAATGTACATTGCATTAAAATATGGCCTTTTTTGACTTGCTGTGTATCAGCCAGTCCCTAACCATTTCTTCTCTTCCATCGTTGGAGTTAGGTTAGCTACTTTGGGGATTCTCTGCCCTCTAAATCGGCTGGCAGTTCATTTGCCATCTCTGAGAAAGACTTCCTTTTTGCCATTACAAACATTCACTTGATTAGAATCAGTCCTTTTTGTTGGCCACAGTGCAGGATCATTGAAATTAATGGTATGATACGTCTCTTGAGCCAGTATGCTCAGACTCTCCAATAAGGCAGCAAGCCCCTCCACCTGTACTCTGTTGGTCGCTTCCCCGCCCCCCAGAAACTGTGACGGGAGAACTGCTACGCTGTCCTCCTTCCTGTCAACCACGGTCCCTGCTCAGCTGGTTCTTCTGCTATGTTCTGTCTTTCACACTGCACCTGGACCCAATGGCGTAACGACACAACTATAAGTAAGCAACATCTGGGTGGGCACCCAAATGAAGTATTACACTCCCCCTCCGTTCTTTCAGCAGCTTTTCATTGCTTTTTCTTTTCTGGAATCCGCTTAAGTACCTATTTTTGGTATCCATCGTCGCTAACACAATGTATGTAAACAAAACAATTTGGAATTACCCATAATTCCAAATCGTTTTGTAAAAAGTAAAATACTGAAATACATCGTTCTTTTAATACCTTTATTGCGGTTTGAAACATATTATCTGAGTGTATTTTTACCAATATATATATATATATATATATATATATATATATATATATATATATATATATATATATATATATATATTTATATTTAGTTACCGTAATATTAAATATTTTCTAACAAATATTATCTGAAAAATTACTTTTGCCTGTATTTTTAATGGTCAGTGTCAATTTTGGGCTCCCGTTTGTCCCTCTTTGTTGGCGGGCATGCGTTTAGGTACTAAAACATCGTACTCTTTGATTTTACCTAAATTGGTACTTGGTAACACAGACTTAATTCTGTCCATATGCATAAAAGCACTGAAGTTTTTACCAATCACTAGTCTTAGTTTACCTTCTCATTCTTTCAACTTGCTTACCTTGTTTTAGCTGCTTCTTCATGTTGTATGCTGAGCGCTACTCCTGTCTTATCCCCTTTGACATCCTACATTTTTAAAAAATTTTTCTCTCTTAATCAGTTCAGTAAGACATATTTTAATTGACTGCCAATTAACAAACAAAGTCAGAATCATGGAGTTGTTAAGCAACAGCTTTGGCCAAATGCATTTTGGTAGAAAATGAAGAGCGCAATGAAATAATTATTTAAAGCACTACTGTGTAAGTTTTATCCACCAGGGGAATGCCTAACTGGTATTTTTCAGCTTCAGCCCTTCTGAAGGCACTGCACAGTTGCATATTAAACAGATGTCCTCTGTGTTTTGAAATCCGAAGTATACCACATTGAGCAGATTGAGTCATAAAATCACATGTAAATTTGAGGCCACATTAACCCCTTTACAGTAAATCCTACATCAGAGAAACAAAACATATGCTTAGATAGGAAGCATTATTTTGTTACCAAACAACTTTTAGCTTAGTAAGATCCTAATGTATAAGGGGGGCTGAAAACTGTTTTGTAAAGCTGCACTCTGGGTTACATTCAGTTTAATTCAGTTTCAACTCAATTATTTATATAGTGCCAATTCACAATGCATGCCATCTAGAGGCATTTCACATAAACAATTTAATGAAATCAGATTGTCAGAGTCAGATTGTTAAAAGGTTTTCCTTTAAGGAGAACCAGCTAATTGCATCGAGTCATGCAGGACATGCTCCACCTGCATGAGCTTCTAGCCACAATATTTGCTTACATTTGTTGTTGACTGTAAATATCATCAAGATGTTCCTGTAGTCTATGTAATGGTTTAGTTTAATCAGAATTTGTGGTCAAACTTAGCTAAGTATATAAACATAACTACAAAATGAATCCCATACTGTCAGATAATTCTACCGATTGGGTACATATATATAGAAAAAAAGGATTGGCCCTAGCCCTGATCCCTGTGGTACTCCGCATCTACATTTAACATGAACAAACTGAAATCTATCAGAAAAATAAGATGGAATTGAGCCAGGAGCTGTTCCCTTATTGCTACAGAATGTTCAAGTCATTCTGAAGAATGTTGTGATCAACTGTATCAAGTTCAGCACTGAGATATAACAGGACAACTGCAGAAACAAGTCCACTATCTGAAGCCATGCAAATGTTTTTGGTGCTTTTTCATTGCTTTTATGAGCTATAAAAACCTGAATGAAACTCCTTAAAAAGGTCATTATAGGATAAGTGGTCGCACTGTTACTTAGAAAAAGTTTTTTCAAGAATTTTCAGTGATGGATCTGTCCCTCTCAAGTTACGGAGACTACAGTAGTTTTTCAGCATGGCAGTCCACACAGAGTATTGATTCGGACCAATTGCTTACCCGAAAAAGCCATTTAATCAAATTAAGCCAATACTTGGATTATAAGCTATGCAGAGTTGCTTTAAACTTTTCCCTCCTATGGATCTAGTTTGTCTTAATAATGGAACGAATCAACATTAAATAAAAAAATTATAATTTTAACTCTGAGCTGGTCATGTATTTTTCAAGGAGTAACTTCTAATAACTAATAATAGTAGTAACTATAATGAACTAATAAATATGTTCATGATAGCTCTATCTAACCTACTTTAGCAAATAATTCAATGATGTTGAAAAACAACAAAATATATGGCCCTAATATTGGTTTTGGCTATTTGCTGTAATGTTTCTTATTAACACCATCAGTGTAATGCAGTTTTCCATACAATTTCCCCGAGCATAATTAGGCTGACCTTACTTAGTAAAGAAAACAAGGTTGTGTGCAGTTAAATGTATTTTTGCTGTAACTAAGTTTGAACATGGCAAGGTTTTGCTATACTCATTCCATTCCCAGTTCCTCCTTACACTGCACGTGACATCGTCAGCTCTGTTGTTGCTAAGCTACAGATAAAATATGTATATGGTGATTTAACTAGGCCTCAGTCGTTGTGACTCATCCATTTCTCTGCCAGTTTGTCTAGATGTGGACAAATGCTAAGTTTTGTGGCATTTTAAAAACAATCAGCTTCATTTTAATCTACAAAAGGAGTTCATTGCAGATCTTAGGGGGAAAAAAAGCACAAAAAAATTAAATAAATAAAACCATGCCAAACATAAACATGTCAGACATTTTTTTTCCATAATCAAAGATAGAAGGAGGTGATAGAGGAGCAAACATACCTCACTGATCAGGCTGGACTGAAGGCACTGCTGTGAAGCTGTATGTAAGAACTTGGCTTGGAAAAAAGGTCAACAAGCTGTGATAATATGTTGACTCTATTCTAAGCACTACTCTGGACCCTCTGGTGAAGTATTCTTCATCAAATGAAGAACATTACAGACAACCTCTTAATAGTTCTTTTGTACAGCAACCAAGTGTGTTCAGTGGCTCCATTAGCTCCACTGCAGTTTTGGCTCTTTCAAGAGATCCTTCTTTCCCACACCAATCACCATCTATAGCTACGTTCTTAAGAAGTGTGACTATTATAATTATTATTATAGCCTTTTAAAATTCGAATAAACTTTTCATTTTTTCAGAAATGTCAGTGTTATTGGTTGTATTGAAATTGTAGGTGTTCTTGTTTGTTATTTACAAATAAATAATACATATTTCTAAAGGAAAAAAAGCAGATTTTTCTTTACATGTAATTAACAGAATAACGTCATTTATTTTTTAATTATGGTAAGTTCTCATTATGTTGGCATTTGGCACCCTTTAAATAAACAGAATAATAATCTGCTATAAATGTACTGTTTTTATAAAATGTAAATGCTATTTTAAATAGCCAAAGTAATTTTATGTTTTTCTATCCAACCATATTATACTTGTAAACTTGTTCAGTTTTAAATGGCATGTCCATAATAACCGGTATTTCAAATCTCACGCTAATATTCCATCTCGACAAAAGTGAGACTCATTTTGAGATAGTCTATGCCAATTCCCTTGATCAAATATGGAAAATTAAATAAAAGTATTACATTGTTAGCAAACGATAACCGTTTTATATCAAATTTGTTCTACTAAAATAAAAATGTGAGGTCTCAAACTTATTCAGATTTTTTTTTACATTCTTACTACATTATACTGTTTTTATGGCTTTTTTGATGGCTTTTCTGTGTGCAATATGAACACAAAATCCTTTCCACACAGAATGGAGTCAGATTGACATCAATTGCAGTTCTTTTTTAATGTTGATATTATACAGCCCTAATTTATTGTTTCCCATTTATAAATATTTTTCTAACCAAACTGAGATAATTTTTTTGTCTTGTCTACTGCTAGATTTGTATCAACTCATATTTTCTCTTGTACGTCACAGGCTCCCAGAGGTACGGATCTCAGACAATGGACCTTACGAATGCCACGTGGGCATATATGACCGGGCAACGAGGGAGAAGGTTGTCCTGGCTTCAGGGAATGTTTTTCTTACAGTTATGTGTGAGTACCATCTCTGCATTTACTATACACACGTCTGAGCTGCTCTTGTATGTATATTTTAAAACAGAATTTGTTGATGAAACACCACATTTATTTAGGAATCTATGTCAGCAGGATAAGAACTATGAAAAAGGTGGAGGTAAGAGCAAACAGGCGGGAGAAAAACCTCTATATCAGTCAAAATTTGAGGCTTTGCTTTTTTATGTGATGTGCCAAAGGAGTGAAAATTGATATAGTTTGGTGAGCTTCGAAAACTAGAGAGTAAGGAAATATTTTCAAATAATTTCTTTCCTGATTTGCATGAATTGCTAGCCTCAAAATGTCTGGTTTATTTACAATACAGCTAGTGTCCTGGTGCGTTTTGCCTTTAGAATATTGGAAGTAAACAATCTAAATAAACTGATGTTTTCACAGCAAGGTAGTCATTGACTTTCTCCCTTTTAAGGAGCAAGTGAGCAAAATCATTTTTGCCAAATATATTCTAAATGGGCTGTTTTTATATAGGCCTGTTCTGCAAACAGATTTAAAACAGATCATTTGGCAGCTTGTGGTTAAGTTCAAGGGCACATCGACATTTGGCAAAGGGAAGCTGGAATCAAACCCACAACCCTTCCAATTTTTAGGCAACTATTTACTTTACTGAGTTACCGTCACCCTAAAATTAGTTGTTTTGTTTATTCCATCTCTGTTTTTGGCTTCTGGTTTGTTTGTTTTTTCTCAGTATTGACGGAATAGTATTAAAGTTATGGTATTGCTTTCCTTTTATTTTAGATATATGTAAGCTCGACCAAAAAGCAGCTCTAGCTAAAGGTGATTTCAGTGTGATGTATCAGCCTTTTGATTCTTAAATTTTGTTTTCTAAATCCGCATAAAGGAAAAGAGAAAAAAGGAAAATTAAGTAAAGTAATCAACTTTACTAAGAAATTATACACCTACATTGTTTTCTACTGCTGCTATCAATTTTTAAATTCAAATTTTCAGACTTTACACACTTTTGTTGTGAGACCCTTTTATTACCCAGTCCAGATCCTAAGAGGTATCGTTTCTCAGATAGTGTACGCAAAGGAAGAAACATGTTTAAGCATTAACAGAATTTATTCCAGTCATGGTTAACAAAGTCATTGATACAAGCAAAAACTGTAGAATAAAGTCTCACCTTATATTAGGCCCTTACGTAGCGACCAATTCATGAGAGACCCCACTGAAAGGCAGAGAGCCTCTGGCGGCTTTCCCATTTTATCTAAAAGTCAGCCAGGAAATGTTTCACCCAAAAGCCCCCAGCATTCAGGCCTACAGCATTACCATATAGGGTGATGCTGGAGCTGCTCTGGCCACCATATATCAGCATTGGAATGTAAATTGTATTATTCTGGTTCTAATTTTGGCTGACCAACACACAAGACTGAACAGATTAAAAAATTAACAGGTGTAACAGAAAATCAAAAGAAATTAATATTCAACTTTTGTTGTCATGCTTAATTACTATTGCTAGAGCCTCACAGAATTTATTTTCAATGTCACCATTATTTTTCCTATTAAAATTTTTACTTTCCCTGTTTTGAATCGAATTTCTTTTGTATCCCAAGTGCCACGTTAATGTCTGCCTGATGAATCCAGCTACGTATAAATACTGATCTTTATATCTTTTTGCTAATTATCTTTTTTATTTTTTGCAACTAGAACCCTGAAGTGAAACACCATGTTATAATGTCAACTTATCACATTTTCTGACCCTGAATACTTTTAATCTATGCAGAATTTTCCCTTTAAGTAACGCTTGACTTTATACTTGTAATTTTTATTACCATTCAAGAGTCTTTGTTTTACTCTCCCCCATTATCAATGAAAAAGGATTTACTTTGCCAGTTGCTTCTTGTTTCAGGTTTAGGTGGGAAGGAGTAAATGATGTTGGCCTAGGATAGCTGCAGCACCCTATCTCAGTCGGGGTTCTAAATCACCACAGCGAGAAAGAAGAATGGCTTCTGGCATTGTGGTTAATTGCAGTCTAAACTGAAACAGAATTATTCATAACCTATTAGTGTGTCAAGTTCAGTGGGAAGAAAGGAGAAAAGTTGAGCAGAGAAAGAGAATATTAGTGGAACAAAGTTAATTAATAGGAAACAGTACATAGAGAGTATTTTAATCTTTAAAGGATTTTACAAATAAGGATGATAATTTTAATGAATCCCTAGCCAAGAAATGCGTTTTTGAATCACAGAGACATGAACTCTGGTAAAACAGCTACTGTCCATTACCATCAAAAGTTTTTAAAGTCTCTTTTTCAGTTCATACATTAAATTAGGAAATCTTAATTTTATTGGACCCAGTGGCATAAGGGAAGCAACTTTTGTAGTCGTATTGATATTTGGCAAAAGTTAAGCTGATTTGTTAATTAAACATTCCTGTTTTGAATGCCTATTTCTTGATGGTTTAAAACAAAATAACCTCATGAAAAGTCCGCTATCTAGAAGTATTTTGGGCAAGCAAGATATTTTATCATTCCTTGAATAACTGCATGTTTTTGTAATTTATGGTAAGTCATCTTGCTACTTTCAAATGTCAGAAAAAAAATATGTGTTAGCGATGTGAAGTTCTTTTTGGAAAAAAAACGAAAATTGTTGAAGTGAAGGAAACAATCCTTAGTCGACTTTTGAATTTAGTTTCAAGTCACAACTAGTTTTAATATGCTGGGCAGCAGTTTTCTCTTTAACTTTATGTAATCCATGGTGTAGAGACATTTGACCTACCTCCTGCAGCTGTAACAAAACAGGTATCTGTGAATGCAGAAAACTGACTCTTGCTGAAGTGGTCATTGAATATGATTTTTGTTTGACCATGTTTTTGTTAACTTTAGGGTTGATTTCCCAGGAATATGCTACATTTGGGGTCTTATAGGTACTGGTGGGGACCAACGACTGGTTCCCATGAAGAGAAGTTCTCTTCTTGGGATGGGGGGCTAGGTGCAGGACTAAGGTGTAACTTGAGTTAGGGCTAGGTATTATTAATTGTTATGCTTAGGGGTTAGGCAATATTCATTAAAATTTATGCTTTGCTTTTACTGATTTTGAATAGTTTAAACTTTTTAATTTTGTTCTTAGAGGCATACTTATAACTTGAATTGCATTTTTTTTCTTTTGTCTTTAGCAAGGGAAAAGTGGGTTTCATACATCTTCCATTGTTTGTTTTTTATTATTAAAAAGAATGTCTAGACCAATAATGAAAGTAATTACTTTAAAAATAACAGAGAAAAAGTCAGAACATTAGCTACTATTGTTCCTAATAGATACCAATTTTTGCTGCAGTTCTAAAATGAAAAGTCTTTTCAATCTCTATGAAGCTATGATCATGTTAGCATTTAGAAGCCAAATAAATCTATTCTCCTTTTGTCTGGTAAAGATCTGGTGATTATTTGTTATCACCTGATGTGATTCCGTTATGATACTGCAAAGATTAAAATGGAAGGTAATTTATACCCCCAGAAAAGGCAGTGACCTTGGGAAGCCAGTACCTGCTTGAGTTGTATACTATCTGAGGGACCTTAGCTGGTTGTTGTCTGTATTAAATGGGTGTTTGCCTGTGACTTGTCAGCTTGATAAAGAACATCTTAATAGCCATGTTTTTAAACATCTTGTCACGTAGGGGAAGAAATTCTTCCATCTAACCTTTTGTGAAGCGTGAGAGGTTAATTCAAAGGATGCCCTTCAGTAGTTGACAGGATTGTTACCTACATCCTCAACATACAGAGATGAGTACTAAGATGTAGAGAGACTTAATTATCTTCTCATTATGTGTAACTCTGTTTGCCACCATAATGGATGTACAATTTTAATTAAACACCACAGACATTTAGGTCCATGTCTGGGACCTGATGGGATTAATGATAAACAGATAAATATCTTAGATAACAGTAGATGCCAACAGATTCTTTTATTCAAAGAAAAAATAATTTACTAATAATGTATACTGAGATATTGTGTTTGATTGAATGATTATATGGATTTGATTGTAGAGTTTGATTGATGCTTTTTGCTTTGCATTGTTAAAAAAAGCTTTAAATTCCCCACCATAGTTTGTATGACTCAAACAGCCAATTTTTTTTATAATGTCCTTTCTATTACATTTTGTGATATGTTATAAATTATCTTTATAATTGTAATTTTAAATGTTTTTTTCCATTGAGATCAGAGACATGTTTTTAATAAAACAAATTAAAAACAAAATATTTAAAAATGCACATGTAATACAAATAACTCAAACATTCGGCTCAAATTAAGTCTGATAACTAATAGAATATGATTTAAACGATACCTGTTTTTCCTACGTTTTTTTTTTTTTTTTTTGTTATGCAAATACATAAACTGTTTACAGCGGATACATCAATAAAATCAGTAAATGCAGTAACATTACCTTTAAAATCATTAAAGCATTGTTCAAGGCTCAGAATATTCAGATGCTTCATTTTCTGCATCACTGTCAATTAGTTTTCATTAGCTGGAGTACAAGTTTATTTTTTTTATCAAATTGAAGTAAATGTTTGTTCTCAGGTTTGAAAAAGTTCAGAGTATTCTCTTTTAGTTGTTATGTTTAAATGTGATAATGACTGTAACTTTCAAAAAGGTTTTCAATTAGAGCTGAAGGTAACTTTTTATGTTGAGAAAAATCAAACCTTTTATATCAGTCTTAAAAACTTGCAAATGTTTTCATAAACAAAAAACAAAGGGTTGTGGAGATGTGATGTGATTACTTACGATTTACATTCTCCAGCCAAATTTGTCTTGGTTTCTATTTTGTAAGCAGGCTAATCAATGGAAACCGGGTCACTGGCTTGAGGAACTGTTTGGTTTCACTTGGGTGCTCGACGGACACATTAGTCAGTTCCAATCATTTTGCTCATTTAAATACATATTGATGTAATTAGATATAGTGTAACAAGCACTTGAGCTTTGGGAGATGTCTTTTAGTTTGGGGTTATGGAAAAATACAAAATCAAGAAACTGAAC